CCACCACCTGAAAGTCAGTGGTTCAAACCCACCAACCGATCTTCCAGACAAAGATGAGTCTGTTGGCTTCTGTAAAGATTTCGTCTCAGAAGCCCTATGGAACCGTTCTACTCTGTCCTGTAGGGGAGCTATGAGTTAGAATCAACTCTTCGGCTTGAGCGCTTTATATACATTTTGAAATATCAACTATCCCTGATTTGTTCCCTGAGCACTCTCTAGGTTCTTTGATTCCTTTGAGGCATGCACTTGCAATGAGCACATTCCAAGCCACCCACCACCCACTTGTGTTACCTCAGCATGGTTGCACCCTTATTTGGGTGCCTGGCCACTGCTTCTTCAGTTCAGCATCCCTTTCTCTCTGACACGATGCTCGGTTCTGTGCGTAATGCATAAGACACAGCTCCTCAGCCTAAAAGGTACATTAATCTAGTGCAGTGTTTGCTAACATGAGGGACCCTGACCCCCGAAGGGTGCTGAACCAGCCCAGGGGGAAAACAGATACTTGCACTTTGTTCTGGATTATGAGCGATGGCACAGAAGCTTCTAATTGCCAATGGGTGCTCTGAGTAATTTTCTTTTTTTCTTTTCTGTTTTTTTGAAAAGAGAGCAGTAGGCCAAATATGTTTGGGAACCTCTGATCTAGTGCGAGAGAACAACTGCCCAGCTACAGTCCACAATAATGGAGAAACAGGGACACAACACTAATATGGGCGCGCTGACGAGGGAGTAGCTCAAGAAATTGAGGATGCTTTCCCTAGAGGAGACGCGGGGAAGCATACAGAGGGCTTTTGACAAAGGAAGGAGGCTGAGGAGCACTTTCCCAGTGGGAGGGAAAGCGTAGACAAAGGAGGGGTGCAGGGACCCGGGAGCTTCAGGCGTGTTGGGACGTGAGAAGCAGTGTGTGGTGACACTGGGAGGAGACGTTGGGACAAGGTGGCAAAGGAACTAGAATATCATTCTCAACATTTTCACTTCGCTTTGTAAGAAATGGGATGTCGGTGGCTGTTGTGGTAGACAATGACTTTGTGACGCGACCCCCGGTGGTGGGCTCTGGACTCTGGTGAAAGGCAAAGGAGGGGCTAGATGCCGAGGCAGTTTGCAGGTTGGAAGCCCTCGGAACAGTCTAGCTCCGAGAAGATGGGACCTTCAGCTGGCTGAGAGACCTAGCATGAGCCATTCAGGAGATCGTTCCGCAGGAACACGGAATTCAGGTTGGCCGGGGAAAGTGGGAGCAGACGCTCAACCTAAAAATGCTCACGTCACTAGGCGAGCCCGATGGCACCTGGGTTCTCCATCAGTGGAATGGGTCATAGTGGCCAGCAGATGCTGAGATGACAGATGGCATGCATTTTTCCTGGTGTGTTTGCTGGTATGTGCAGCGTTCTGTGTGAATTCCAGACGGAATTCAAATCCACAGGGAGTGTGTGTGTGTGTGAGATTTGAAAACCCACATGCCATCCTCATGTGTTTTCATGAAGGTATGTTTGTGACTTTCAGAGGTGTCCCAAGACCATGAAGGCAGCCTCCGGGGCACACAACCAGTTCTGACGCCCAGGCAGAACAATTGTTTTGAGGAGCGTGCTTGATTTGATTGCCTTTGCAACTCGCTCTGTTGTGTGTTGAGCCCAGAAACTTGAGTTAAAGAATGTCATTTTGCAGCCACTCTAAAAAATAGCCAGGAAGCAGCCCTCACACCTCTCCTCTGGGGCCTGATTTCAAGGGACAGTGAGAGAAAGGACAAGCTGCTCGTTTGCAGGCCCAGGGTGAATAGAACTGGAGGTGGAGGTTTATAGATCACAGGGTCGTTGTTTTCAAAGAGAAATAAAAGTAAATGATGAAACTTCAGAAAAAATGGACTCTCTGGAACAGAACCAAGAACCAGCTCTCAGCGCTGACCTTTGGTTAAAGCCACGTAATGCAATCTCTGTCATCCCCTCTAGATGTATTATTTTATTGGTTTGCTGGGAATTTTGGCTTCAGGGAAATTGTACGTTAGGGGAGTGAAATGTTTAACTCTTATTACTGCCAAATGTTTGTCCCCGTGGTGAGGTGTTATAATAGAAAAAACACCTGCCAGGACCTTATGGTCTACAGGGGTTATAGCCTCGGGTTCCATACTTCACAAAGCATCTTTTCAAATGATTGCCATGGCCTAACGATCCCTGGTGAGTGACTCTCGAAATGAACTTCATTTTGAATCAAAATAGTACTTTTTCAGCTAGGAAGCTGTCACATAATTGCTTTTTTTATATGAATCTTAATTCCAAAGGCTCAGTTGGGGTCGATAAGCCCTTCTGAAGTGCTACGATCCTAGTAAAAACAAGGTATCTTTAGATAGCCTTAGATAGTTTAGAGGCAGAAGTCAATCCAATCCCTATTCAATAATCTGGTGGTGACGGGTGAGCATGTGCTGGCTGGCATGTGTCAACTCTAACATATAAGAAGATAAAATGGTATTTTGGTGTCTGTGTGAATTTCTTGAAGGCCTAGAGCTGGGTCTCCCTGTGCGTTTAGATCCCCTCACCTCCTTGATGGAGCCCCTCAAGGGTGTCATTGGCTCTCCACACTTCCTGCTGAGCTCGGTGGGCTGGGAAGCCCTGGGCCACTCTCTCTCTCCTGCTCTGGCTCTTGGTTCTGCTACTGCCACTCGCTTCTGTCACCACTTCCCTGGCATCACAACTCATTGTCTCCTGGGTCAAGGAGGTTCAGTGTACGGATCCCGGGGTCCAAAGGACATGCTCCACTCCTGGTTCTTTTTTCTTTATGTGGCCATGAGATTCCTCCATTCCTGCTTGACTCGGTTTAAACTTAGTGGGTGGCAAAACTGACCAATCTCCTTAGTAGCACCTCATTGACTGTATTTGCTTAGTCTCATCCCATCATTTGGTTGGAATTACAAGGGCTATGACTTAGAAGCACTATATCAAATAATTTAGTGCCCTCTCAATAAAAATTCCAAACTGAATCTATCCAAAATGACTCCAGATATTTTATCTCAAACCTACTCCTCCCTCAGCCTTCTTTCTCTCCCAGTTAATGATAAGTCCTGCTTACTCAGGCCAAAGCATGGAGGCATCCAGGAATCCCTTTGACCTCCCACCTCCTGCCATGACCCATGGTCAGAAAGCATTTCTTGTTCATATCCTCCAACTTCAGAATGTATTTAGAACCTGGTCATTTTATATTACGTGTGTGTTCCAAACACGTCCAGGACAGCAACACTTCTCCCCATCTCCCCATCTCCCCCTTCAAAGAACACCAGACCTGATCGCTTTTTACCAGCACTCCGTTCAGAACATAGCTAGGCGTTCATCACATTCACCACCTCCGTGTTCAGACAAGATCTGGAACCTGGCCACTTTTAGTCACCTCCGTTCTTGCCAAGGCCACCCTGTTCAAGCCAGCACGATCCTATGCCCCAGCTACTACCGGCACGTGCAGTAATATGAACGGGTCTCCCCACTTTCTCTCCTGGTCCTGTGATCTGTTCACCACCAGCAATCCAACTGAGTCTGTTAAAATCTAAGCCAGATTATGGGACGCCCCTCTTCAAAGCACATAGTACCCCACCCACTGCCACCAAGCCCATTGTGACGCAGCGCAACCTTCTGTAAGGGTCTGAGGCTGCATATCTTCACAGAAGCAGACAGCCTGTCTTTCTTCCGCAGAGCAGCTGGTGGTTTACACCTCTGAGCTTGAGGGTAGCAGTCCCCAAACTTACCCAACACCACCACCAAGTCTCCTTCTGTCCCCCACAGGGGTCCTCAAACTTACCAGAAAAGTTCTCACTCACCACTTCTACCCTTGCTGGTGCCTCTGCCTAGAATGTTCTTTTCCTAGCTGCCGGCATTGCTCATGTCCTCACCCACTTAGTGTCTTTCCTCAAATGTCCACTCTCCAGGAAGCCTCCTCTGACCACGTTATTTAAAATGATGACACCTCTGCGCCCTGCCTGTGTTCCCTATCATCGATTTTTATGGTTTTATTTTCTCCACAGCACTTTTAACCTTCGACCACTCTATTTAATTTTCGTTTTACCGAGGTAGAACGTACACACCATAAATCCACCCTTTTGAAGCACGGTTCATTGTTCTTAGTATGTCCACAAGATCGAAGACACACCTTCACTGCTTATTTCCTGAATACCTTTGTTATTCCAAGAAGCCACCTCACACCGGCCACGCAGTCAGTCCCTCCCACCTCCGTCCCCCGCCCCTGGGAATCATCAACTTAAAATCTCTAGGAATGTACCTTCTCTGGACATTTCATATAAATCAAATTGGATACTGTGTGACCTTTTGTCTCCGATTGCTTTCGCTTTAGCATGTTTTCAAGACTCACCCATGTCGTAGCATGTCTCAGAACGTCATTTCTTTTTGTGGCCAGTTAGCATCCCATTAATTGGCTGTACCATAATTTCATCAGTTGATGGATATTTAAGTAACTTGAAGCCTTTGCCTAGAATTAATAATGCCATTATGTAAATGCATGCACAACTTTTCTTTTGTTTTATAAATGAATTTAAGTCGTCAGTTGTCTTGAATTGCTGCGTCACGTGCTGACCTCCCAGCCACTCCATGGGACAAGGATGAGTCAGCCCACTCCCGTAAAGAGGTAGACCCCTCAGAAACCCAAAGGCAGAGTTCTGCGCTACCCTGCAGGGCCCTGTGCATCAGCCTGGACGCGCTGACTGCGGGTGGGGGTTGATTTTGGATGGCAACTCTATGGGAACTTGTTTGAGGAACCGCCCTGCTGTCTTCCGCCGTGGCTGCCCTTTTGCATTCTCCCGATCTGTTGCAAATATATTCCAATTTCCTCACCTTTCCAATCGTTGCTTATTTCTTACAAACGGAAATTTAAATGGTTAAAGTCTCACAGCTCTCCATTTCTGTAATTGCTATATTTCTTTGCGTGGATCGTCAAAAGTTGGCAAAGCCGTGACCCCTCGTGCAGAGGGCGGGGCCGCAGGCTTTGTGCTCACATTCTCGCCTCTCCTGCAGGCATCAACAGGAAGGTGGTGTACTCCTTGGCAGACTCAGCCGGTGGGTTCTTCTCGGTGGACAGCTCATCGGGCATCATTATCCTGGAGCAGCCACTGGACCGGGAGCTGCAGTCTTCCTACAACATCAGCGTGCGGGCCAGTGACCAGAGCCCCGGGCAGGCCCTGTCCTCTCTGGCCACTGTCACCATCACCGTCCTGGACATTAACGACAACCCCCCTGTGTTTGAGAGGCGAGACTACCTGGTCACAGTGCCCGAGGACACCTCCCTTGGCACGCAAGTCCTGGCTGTGTTTGCCACGAGCAAAGACATTGGAACAAATGCTGAGATCACGTATCTCATCCGATCTGGAAATGAACAAGGGAAATTTAGAATCAACCCAAAGACAGGTGAGTCAATAGCAACTAGCTGGAATTCCAGGCCTCACTGCGTCCTCCGGGGCAGGCTCTTCTTCATCCTCCTGTCTCCCTCCCTCACAGTAGAGCAAATCTTAGCTGGGCCTAATTCAGGCCCTAGGAGGCATGCTCCATCTAAGGATGTGGAATGTGCAGCTCCCAACTGTCGACTGCAGGTGGTGCTAACAGTCAACTCACTCAGCTACTCATCAACAGCTTGGAAGTTCAATTCCACACAGAAATGCCTTTGAAGAAAGAGCTGGTGATCTCCTTCCCACAAACGCAGTCCTTGGGGAGCAGAGTTCCACAAGGCTGTGCCTTTGTTTACTTGGTAAACCCCTGACCCCCAGGTTGGCTGCAGGATTTCTCCTTGGGAGCAGCAATGGGGGACTTGACATGAAGTAGTATTTGCATGCCTCCCACAGGGGTTGGTGGGGTTTCTCTCTTTGCTGTGTTTGTTTGCTTTCGGCTTTGTCTTAATCTGGATCATTTGTTGTGAGTTTGGGGCTCCCCTTGCCCCGTTCACACTTAGGTTACCCCTCTTCTCAGGTTCCCTGCCACAGATAAGGGATCTGGATGGTGACTTTCGGGTCCTCTCAGGCTGGAAATCCACTTAGCATTATTAATTCGTTGGCACTGTCCCTGTCACCAGGCCCTGTACAAACTCCTGGGCAGTGTGTGCATCACTCGGGGCACAGGTGCTTAGGAAGAAACCAGGAGAGCAAAGGGCGAGCCCTGGGGCTTTGTCTGCATTGCTTGGTCAGTAACCAGCAGGGCAATGTGGAGTAAAGATGGTAACTCAGGAAACAAGTTTGGATATTCTTTGAAGAGTGAACATACTTACCCTCGTATTTTTATAATGTTTGTGTTGATATTTTTGCTGTGCATTCTCATCGTGTTAACTTATTCACCTGTGACTAGGCAGAGCGGTTTCCATTTCACAGGTAAGAAAAGTGAGTCTCACACCGACCAATCATTGAACTCATGTCCCTTTTGTCACTCAAGAATTAGGCACTTGTTGAGCAAGGAAGTAGAGCAAACTCATTCTACCAATGAGTACAAATAAACTATCTTAATTCCACAAAACCAAGCTTCCTGCCAGGTAGGGATGCCGACTCATAGTGAGCCTCTAGGACAGGGTAGAATTGCCCTTCTGGGTTTGTGAAACTGTAACTGTAGAAAGCCTCATCTTTCTCCCTTGGGGCACCTGGTGGCTTTGAACTGCTGACTTTCCGGTTAACAGCCCAAGGCATAACCATTGGCATGCATGTCAGGCTCCTATGAAATCATTTTACATTTTCCACCTTTTCTATACCAAGAGCAGAGGTTTATAAAGCTTTCAAATTTCTCCTAATGCCTACTGTCCGTAGTGAGGGTTCTAGGATTTGAACTTTGATCTCACGGACACGAGAATCTATGCTCTGGTCCCTATATAATACGGTTGTATTGTCAGGGATGCAAAATCGAACACTGTGCAGTCCTGTCCCACCCCTGAGTATGCACACACTGCCACGGGACCGACTCCAACTCATAGAAACTCTGTGCGAGATTTCTAAGCCTGCAGATCTCTACAGGACTAGACAGCCTCATCTTTGTTCTGTGGAGTGGCTGGTGGGTTTGAACTGCCTTCCTTGCAATTATCAGATCAATATTTCCAGGATGGAAATATTGGTAGAGAAATGGCATTAGCAGCTCTCCTAGCCGTAACTCTGTTTACGAAGGTCATTAGTTTGAATGAAAGTGTATGGGGATTTACCCATTATGACCTTGCACCTGCCTAGTTATGGCCATAGTATACGAACAGCAAGGGTAAGTGGCTAAGTACTGTTTAAATTGGGTGTTGACTAATGGCACTAGGATGCAAAATAAAGCACTAAGGGTGCTAATTACTAAGAAATTTTAATTCTGAGAGGAAGAGGCTGCTGGTGTAAGTTAAACTGTTTCTCAGTGGTGTAGAAAGAGTCTGTGGCTAGCCTTAGCATTCTCTAACTAGGAGACAAAGATAAAAGATTCCTTGGTCCAGATAATTGTTCGGGGTGGAAACAATGGTAAACGTCTTTGAGAATCTGCTTCAGGGAGAACAGTGGCCCATTGCAGAGTGCAGTCCTGGGTTACCTCACTAGAAAGGGTGAGGGCTGAAGGAACATCGCACTCCCAAAGCGCCTCCTGGCCTGGGGCAACACCTAGCTGGCTGCTTTTACTTGCTCTACCTGCTTCCTTGGTGGTCAGCAGATTCTTCAGGAGCCAAGATGGCACAAGATGTGAAGCGTTGGACTGCTAACTGGAAGGTTGGCAGGACAAACCCACCAGCCACTCCGCGGGAGCGGGATATAGCAGTCAGCTTCTATAAAGATCTTCAGCCTTGGAAACCCTAAGGAGCATGTCCCTTCTATCTTCTAGAGTTGCTATGAGTCAGAATCCACTGGATGGAAGTGCTGGGTAGCAGAATCCTTCCCTTCCCTGGGAGACACTGGGCTCCACTCCTGATCAGTGCATCTCTTCTGCAGCCACCACAGTGAGGCCTGGCTGCTGCCCTGGTGCTGGCTAGCTTTCAGCAGAGGTTCCAGATTAAAATGGAAGAAGAAGGCAGGCTGCTCGACCTACTTCTGCAAATAACCTCTTCTGAAGGAGCTGTAGCTACTAACAGTGTGATGATCCTCAAGCAGTCACGAGGGGGGTGCAGGACCAGCTGTAGTGCCTCGAGGCCTGGGCCTCAGCAGCAAACTTGCCTAATTTGAATAACTCAATATAGACACAGTCAACTCCACTAAACCCACACTTAATATTTGGCCATTGTGTTATTTGAGTCCCAGGTGTTGCCTCCTCCACGGTGTCACCCTAACCTGAGATTTCTGAGATCATTGTTCCCCTTTTGCCATATGGTTGTAGATAGATGCATCATCTCTGGGCAAGGCATGGCAGCCATTACTTTTATGCAGCTCAGTCTGAGAGCATGTGTGTACTAGCTGACCGGAGGTGCAGCCATCCATTCCCATCCTGGCCTCTGGGCTCAGCCTCTGTCTGGTCTTGACCTGAGGACTCAAGAGACGCATATCGGAGATGCTTGTCCCTGTACCTACGGCCCAGTTGCATTAAAACGAACCATGCCAGATATTATCTGATGCTTGAAAGAACTCCAGAAACATGCAAAGACTTAGAATGTTCTCAGTGCTCTGTATGATGGATAGCTGTACTTTAACTGACAGCATTAATCAGACTTCTGGGATGGTTTCAGTCAGGTGTCCAGTAAGCAGATTCCCAAATACCTCAATTTCTGGGCTGCAGATGGTGTTATACATATTACCAAGATTATGGAACTGCTGACCAGTGTGTTTACCTAATTAAACCTGAATGTTCCCTTTTTTTCTCCCAAGGGGGGATTTCTGTCTCAGAAGTCCTGGACTATGAATTATGCAAAAGGTTTTACCTGGTGGTGGAAGCCAAGGATGGGGGCACCCCGGCCCTCAGTGCAGTGGCCACAGTCAGCATCAACCTCACGGATGTGAATGACAACCCTCCCAGGTTCAGCCAGGACATTTACAGCGCGGTCATCAGTGAGGGCGCCATGATCGGGGACTCTGTTATTTTGGTAGGTGCCCATCTGGGAGGTCCAGAGGGCTGGAGTATATGACCCCTAATAGAGTGGAAAAGTAAGCAACGTCGCTCTTGCAGTTTTTCCACACTCCCCCCTTTCAGTGTCTTTTAGCCCCCAAGAACTATAATCAGGCACCAGCGGCTCTACAAGTGTTCCTGCTGCTCCTATGCCAGTTTTCATATCAGACAGGGCCAGGCAGACTGCTCTACATCACGGTGTAGGTGACTGGTAATCACTCTTCTGCCAGCAGTGGTTTTGGTTTGTTTGTAATGCATTTTTGATGGTGGTTCCTACCCACTTCTAACCTTAGATGATAAGTTACTGGGTGGATAGGGATAGTGTAGAGTCTCCCTACGACCAACACACAGACACAGGAGAGAATAGCTACAAATGGGATTTCTTTCTCTTGTCATTTATAAGAGTCCTTTCAAGGAGGACATTTTCCTAATACCTTTAAGAACAAGCTGTGTTTTCTGAGGACTCCAGTCCTTCTCGGCCACACCTTACATTTTAGACGTGATGAGTCCGTCCTCACCCCATCAACCCCCTGCTGGGCTAGTCTCTTCTATCCATCATCTCCTCCATCTCTGATTCCTGCAACACTGCCCTATACTAAATGGAAATATATTCTTTTAAAAGTATCTATTGTGGAAAATAGGCATATCTGTAACAGAAAACTGACCTCGTTAGCCCGTTCTAAGTGTACGATGTAGAGACATCCATCACGTTCACGTTGCTGTGCAACCGTCACCACGGTCTTCATTTGCTCCGCCCACAGCCCCCGCTCACTACCCATGAATCTACCTTTCCCTAAGCATTGGTCTGTTCTAGATATTTCATGCCAGTGGGTCACACACTATTCCTCCATTTACATCTGATGTGCTTTGCGTAATGCTTTCAAGGTTCGTCCATTCCACAGCATCTATCAGAATATCAATTCTCTCACCCACTGAATGATATTCCCATGTGCGTGTAGATAGACCACATTTTTAAAAAATCCATTCATCTGGTGATGGCTGTTTGGGTGGTTTCAACTTTTTGGTTTTTGTGACAACAGTACATTCTTTACACAACAGGCATGGGCATCGGGACCCTCTCCTGCTAGGCTCTTTGCATGCACATAGATCCCAACGTGACCAATGGGGAGCAGCAGAGAGTAGGACAGTGTGTTTGCTGTGTAGGGAAGGGGAGTGTTCTTGGCTTCCCTGACGTGGAAACGTCTAGATTAGAGATTGCCTGACTCCAAGGTAGCGGTCTTTCCTCTGTATAATTCAGAAGAAATCATGTAAGCACCCCTAAGTGTTACCCTTCCTAGCTCAAAGCCTGCGGAAAACTAGACCTAAAAAGCATCAGACTTCAAGCAGTTAAGAATCAACTTAGAAACCAAATGGTGGGGTTCAGGCCTGGCAATGCCCTCCTTCAGACAAGTGATCATTTCTCCCACAAGGGCAAGCTCCTAACAGCCAGCGCTCTCCCCATTTAAACAGACCTGGTACCCTGAGAATAAAGTGTTTCTGTGTTCCTTATGCTGTGTCTTTTCTTTGTTTTGCTTCTTCTCCATGAAGCTAATAGCAGAGGATGTGGACAGCCAGCCCAATGGGCAGATTCGCTTTTCCATTGTGAATGGAGATCAAGACAACGAATTCGCCGTAGAGCCTGTCTTGGGACTTGTTAGGGTTAAGAAGAAACTGGACCGAGAACGGGTAAGCCCCATGAAGGCAGCAGCTCTCTTCCCATCTCCACCCAGCTCTTCACTGGCGTCAAAGCCACAGGTCATGAGTATGAGTGGGGAGCTTCTCTGGTCTAGAGACTCCAAATAAAAATGGTTGCTCTTTAAAAAACACTTCTGGTCCTGAAGTCCCTGTGAGTGTGAATACAGGCTACATTTCTTTACTGTCAGATGCTCTGTGCTTTGGCAGGTCTCTGGATACTCCCTGATTGTCCAGGCAGTGGACAGTGGCATTCCTGCCATGTCATCAACTGCAACTGTCAACATAGATATTTCTGATGTGAACGACAACAGCCCTGTCTTCACACCTGCTAACTATACTGCTGTGATTCAGGTAAGCCAATCTCCCCTACCAGACACTCACCCCTAAGACCTCAGTTCCTTTCTTCTGCAGTGGATCATTCATTAAGGTTAACTATGATTAGAGAGACACATACGTGTTTATACAGATGATAGATGCCATTGATTCTACTCCAGTTATTCATGGTGAGCATATGAACAACAGAAGCATACACTTTCTGACCCTGCATCATCACCACAACTGCCATTTTCTAGTCCATTGTGATAGCTCGTATTCCAATTCATCTCTCCATCCTCACAGACCCACTACTGATGTGCAAATAGGATTCTTAGTCAATGGGAGATTAGACACCTGGATAAAGCTGCTGCTCATTAAAATTAATCCCCCATAAGAAAATTTTCTGAAACTTGAAAGCCACCTGATCGCTTAAAGAAGATTGTAAGATAGAAAGACTTTCTGCTACTATTCTGCTGCTTACCGACTGATTTTCCTCCCATCTATTTTTTTTTAATTATTATTTCAAAGATTCAAAGATAGTTCGTGAGTGCTAGGTAAAGAGCTGCCTCCACTTGTCAGGATTTGTAGACGCTGGAAGCCAGCTTCAGGAGAATCAGGGGATTCAAACATGGAATAGTATCAGTATAAAGAAATTAGAGAAGACAGGGATGGATATTTGTGTTGTAGAAGACCAAAGATGTTCCAGAGAAATAGCTCTAGCCTCATCCAATTTGGCCTCAGGGTCACCTCCAAGCCTTCCCAGAGTGTCTGAGTGAAAGGGGGGAGGAGAAGGTATGAGGCCCTGAGGAGCCCTATGGAGCAACCTTCAAGACTTTGAGTCTGGCCCTCCTTGGACAAGACCTCCCTGCTCCACTGAGCTGTCCAGGAACCGGGCTGGAAGACCGTCCTAAAGCTAGCAGATATGGGCTCCATTCCCACCCCTTTGTCAGCAAAATCTGATTCCTTCATAAGAGCTGGGTTTCTTTCCTCTCCTCAATGATGCTTTTTCCATCAGCTAAACATTCTTATGCCTCTCCTGCTCCCACAAAGCCCCGTGGGGGGTCTTTACCTTCCTCCATTCTCCTTTCTCTGGGTTTCCTTTCTCCAAGACTCTCCCCCACCAGGGCACTCTCTACCCGCCCCTGCTTCCATGCGCTTGCCCACCACAAAAAGAAAGGCTGTGTGTTCAGTTTCACTGGTCAGCTTGACGGGCTGGTTTCAAAGGCACAGCAGGAAGCCTTCAGTGAAAGAACTGAGACTCTCCAGCCAGTGGTGAGGACCGGGCCTCCTCTGGGGAGCAGGGGCCCTGCCGTAGTTCACCTTCATTCACAGAAGATGACCCCGAGGACACACATTTCCTCTCCCTCTTCCTCGCTTCTTGGAAGGAAACAGCCTTTATAGAGTGAGCAAACAAATCAATAAGTCTTCTGTTTTGTGTGGTGTGCTAAGTATGTCATCGGTGTGAAATAGTAAATCCACCCTGGGAGGAGGTGATCACGTAGCTCATTCCAAAGGGAGATGGAGCCTTGTTCTTGATGGCTAATGGGGTACTGAAGAGGACTTTATATATTCATATAGATATAGATATAGATATAGATATATATAGATACATATTCCTCCCTTTTTCCAACATAGGCTGGCTTCCTGATTCTAACACATTTTTTGGAGAACCAAGGTTTTTTTGTGTGTTTGTTTTGAATTTGTTTATTTCTTACATTTGAAATAATCTTCAATGGCATCTATGCCCTGAGATTTTTTTGCCACAGCCCTAACAACCACACCATGGAAACCAGCTGCTTTCTCAGGCATGTGCCCAGGCCTGACTGAGTGGTGGTTCAGTGGGGGGGTTCTCACCTTCCATGGACAGTGTTACAAGTTGGGCTGCTAGCCATATGGTCAGCAGTTTGAAACCACCAGCAGGAGAAAGATGAGGCGTATTCCTACTCCCATACAGAGTCATGGCCTCAGAAACCAAAAGTGGCACTTCTACTCTGCCCCATAGGATCACTATGAATATGATCGAGTGGGATTTTTTAGTGAGATTTGGGAAATCTAGGTTCTATCAATATACCTCACACCTAGTCACCACCCCTGGTCACTGGAGGCGTGTGTGCTGCTATGGTGCTAAGCAGGTTTCAGGAGAACTTAAACATTAATACAAATGAAGAAGAAAGGCCTTATAATTTACTTCTGAAAATCAGCCAATGACACCCCCATGCATCAAGATGGTCCAATCCACCATTGATCAGGAGGCGCTGGGGGACCTGCTGTATCCTGGTGAGTGGGGTCCCTGTGAGTCAGAGATAACTCAGAGGCAGCTAACAAGAACAATAACCCACTCCCCCCTATGGCTTGTTGCCACGAACCTTCGTTGGGGGCTTAGCACAAAGTGCTCCTCCACCCTGACACACATCGGCTTCGTTAGCACAGTTGGCATGTGAGCACACAAAGATGGGGTTGGCACCTGCCTTGGGCTTTGATGGCTTCACACTCTCTATGTGTGGCCAGCATAGATGGCCAGTCTTCAGCACCCAGGACTGATGTTCACTCCCATTCAGCAGCACTGCTTTCCTGGGTCATGGTGGCAGGTGGCAGATGGAATGGAATTTTGACTGCGCCCAAGCTTCCGAGCCTTTGCACAACTTGGAAGCAGAAGGGAAAGGGCCAGGCCATAGTTTCATGGAGTGTGCTTGCCCCAGGCGTGATTCTCTTTCAAACTTCAGTGCACCTTGTCTTTCTTTATGTGATCTGAGCTCACTGAGTCCTAAGCCAGTGCCTTCAAAGGGTCTGAACTGTATGTTGGCTTTCCCCTGACCCAACAAAGGGATCAGCACAAGATGATCAAGGCTCAGAAAGACACTGAGAGGAACTCAGCCATGGAAGGCAACGGGTTAATACTGTAACATACCTGATCTTGCAATAACAATGAAAACAACAGCCAAAAAAGTCTAGGAGGGGTTACAAAAATTAACTGGTAACTTTGAACGACTGACCTTGCAACTCATAACCACGACACCCTCAGGGCTCCCTAAATGGGACTAAACCCACAGGATATTTCTGCGTATGCCTATGTGTGCTGCAAATCATCCACAAATGTGGCAGAGCACACAGGGCAAAGTCACAACAACTTCTTGGCCACAACCGAACACCTGGAGGGAGTCAGTAGCTGGGCCTGAAGCTCAGGATCAGTTTCAGGGGACAGTGAGGGCATTGATATAACATCGTGCGCAATGTCAATGTTCTAAACCTTATTTTGGTGAGTGCGCGCACCAACAGGGCTTCAAAGCATGCGTGCTTGTGAGAGGCTGTCTAAAGTGCAACCAGAGGCCTCTCCCTGTCTGCAGCAAAGAGAAGGGAAGAAAAACAAAGGCACAAAGAAACAATTTGTGAACGGTGGTCCCTAAGACCAGAACTAGATGGTGCATGGCCACAGCTACTGACTGCTTTAAAAGGGATCACGGCGTTAGATCCTATTTACAGAGAAACAAAACTCAAAATATTACATATAGATAGATAGATATAAAAGACCAGGCTTACTCATCTGATAGAGACTGGTGGGATCCCTGAGACTGTGGCATTTAAGTAACAATCCAGACTTTAACTGAACTCATGTCAGAAGCTCAACTTTCAGCCAAATGCTCAACAAGCCTATAAAATGAATGCTAATGCCAAGGAGGTACATTTTCATTAGAATGCTCAACCAGTACATTGAGGGGATTACAGTGGGTGAGATGAAACAACAGGCATATAAATTGCTGAGTATGAAACAGATGATCCACTGTGTGAACCTTCACCCAATCCATGATAAAAAGTTGAAAACGACCCACCACCCATGCACAATTAAAAAGGGAGTATTTGTCCAGGAATCAGAGCTCAGAAGGTAGAAAGGGCTAGAGCTGGGTGAAAGGAACCAGTCGGCACAGCGAGGAAGTGGGAAGAGTGCTGGCACATTGTGGGAATCACAGCCACTGTCATGAAGCCCACTGGGTATGAACGGTTTCGTGAAAAGCCAGCTTGCTCTCCAAACTTTCACCTAAATCACAATGGAAACTCCGAGAGGGTCTCCGGTGAGCAAACAGATCAAGCTGTGGAGTGATACACGGTCTTGTGCTCCCACTCTGAGGGAGAGGCTCTGCAAAATAATGCTGACGCCGGGCTTCCGATGAAGGGGACGATTTTCTCGGTCTGCATTTCCAAGTTGAGAAATATTCCACCCCGTGCCTTTTCCCGAGAAGCACATGCAAACGGTTGCAAAGCCCAGCTCTCCACTGGACACATGTCTTTGACTGTTAGCTGGGAAGTTGCCAGCATGCCCCACCACCACCGCCACCAAAAAAGAGCCTCATGTTGTGACATTAGAGCTCCGTGTTGGGCCTAGAACACAGAACAATGTTGTGACAAGTGGAAGACAGTGCCTTCCCCAGCCCAGCAGGATGATGTTTTCTTGGCCCGAGCACATTTTCAGCGTAGTCACAAAGGCGAGTGAATGCCATTTATCCCCAAAGGGGCTCAGGTAAACTCGGGGCGTTTCAAGCTTGTGAAGGACAAAGAGGAGCCCAGCCTCGGAACTGGCAAAGCCTTTCAACACAAGTCCTTCTGTTCTTCACCTGCAGTTTATTGTCTCATGAGATGGTGGTGGGGAGGGAGCCAGCGATGCTCACTGGTGCCAGCCTGTCTTCCAGAGACAAGATAATACCACAGGATTCCCTCAGCTCAATGCTCTGCTTTCCAGCACAGCACTCCCAGCCAGTAATGATGGGTTTGTGTGTTTTTTAAGCTGTGTGCAGAGGTGTAATCTAATCTTCCTCTTTAATATACTCTCTTATGCAGGAAAACAAGCCAGTGGGCACCAGCATTTTGCAGCTGGTGGTGACAGACAGGGACTCCTTTCACAATGGGCCTCCCTTCTCATTCTCTATTTTGGCGGGAAATGAAGAGGAGGCGTTCCTGTTGGACCCACACGGGATCCTGAGGTCGGCGGTGGTGTTCCGGCACACCGAGTCCCTGGAATACGTGCTCTGTGTCCAGGTACGGTCTTGTTCTCTGTCCGCATCAGGCTGCCTTTCACTCCTACTTGCTCTGCGCCCGCTGGTTGGTTTTCCTTTGTTGAACAAGTCAACAGAATTCATTACCGTGTGGGAATGTTCCCCCTTTTAATCTCAGATTCAATTTCACACCAATAAAAGCGGTCTGTGTGTGTGAAATTGAACAGGAAGGAAGGGAGGCATCATTGTTCAGGAGGGACATTTCTGTAGGGTGTGTCAAGCACACCATCTCTGCAGTCTGGACATTCCTGGGGTTCTAGTGGACCCATAAAGAAAAAATAATTGTTCAAGGCTCTTTCCCTTAAGCAGGATATTATTTGTCATAGTATCCCAATGGAGGAAGGTAGTCATCATTGTTTGAATATCCTTCAGCCATAGCGTGGTCTAGTGGTCTCTGCTTTGGAGGAAACTGCCACTTGACTGACCCATAAGAGCCAAGGACTCAGACAGCAATGGCCTTGGGTAGATGACTCACACACCTAGTTTCTGTTCCTTGGGGTCTCTGTGCTGTGGGAAGTGATTAGTACAGAAGGCAAATGTGATCGGTCTTGAAAGAGATGGGTGAGAGCTTGAAATGAGCAAACACCAAAAAGCTCCCAAGTACGATTTTTGCTTGGATCCCATCCTAGAAATTGAGTGACTCGTTTTTTCCCCCAAAGCACCCAAACCAAACTCACAGCTGTTGGATCGATGTCAACTCATGGCTATTCTGTGAATGGATAAAGTAGAACTTCCCCTGTGGGTTTTTGAGACTGTAATTGTTTACAGGAGTAGAAAGCCTCATTTTTCCGCCAGGGGATGGTGGGAGTTTCAAACTGCTGACCCTCCTGTTAGTAGCCCAACATGTAACCCACTGTACCACCAGGGCACCTCCATGTCAATGAATTCCCCCATTGCTAACCTCCCTTGTGTAATCATTTTATATAACCATGTGGGTGCTCAAAAGGCAAGGAGCTCTTGTTAACGGCTTCTCTTGAAGTGAACAGAGTTCTTGGCATATTCTCTCTAGCTGTTAGAAGCCAGAGATTTGATATCTCAGACTCGGGAATCTCCTTAGAGAGCTTTCTCCCCATGGCAATTATATTATACTTTCAGCATGTTTTGTGTTTCTCCTTGACAAGGTCCCTGTCTGCATCAGTTACAGCCCCACTCTCCCAGCCCCATTTATGTGCACATTAACCCATACCAGTACTGCTGCCTCCTAGTAGAACTGCCCTTCTGCTTCAGCCTCATTCGTTTCTATTTCCCCTCCAAGATGAATCCTCTTACATGAGATTCTGTTGTTCTTCTAAGCCAGAGGTGGGCAAGTGCAGGCCCTGTGCCAAATCCTGCCCATAACCTCTTTTGTTTTTCGAATCCTTTTATTAGGGGTTCATACAACTCATCACAATCCATACACACATCAAATGTGTAAAGCACATTTGTACATTCATTACCCTCATCATTCTCAAAACATTTCCTTTCCACTTAAGCCCCCCGCATCAGGTCCTCTTTTTCCCCCTCCTCTCCGCCACCCCCTCCCTCATGAGCCCTTGATAAGTTATAAATTATTATTTTGTCATATCTTGCCCTGTCCAATGTCTCCCTTCACCCACTTTTCTGTTGCCCGTCCCCCAGGGAGGAGGTCACATGTAGGTCCTTGTAATCAGTTCACCCTTTCCAACCTATTCTCCCTCTATCCTCCCAGTATCGCCTCTCACACCGCTGGTCCTGAAGGGATCATCCACCCTGGATTCCCTGTGTTTCCAGTTCCTATCTTACCAGTGTACATCCTCTGGTCTAGCCAGACTTGCAAGGTAGAATTCGGATCATGACAGTGGGGGGGAGGGGGGAAGGAAACATTTAGGAACTAGAGGAAAGTTATATTTTTCATCGTTGCTGCATCGCATCCTGACTGGCCCGTCTCCTCCCCGAGACCCTTCTGTAAGGGGATGTTCAGTGGCCTACAAATGGGCTTTGGGTCTCCACTCCACACACCCCCACACCCCCCAAATTAACTATGGTAAGATTTTTTTTTGTTCTGATGATGCCTGATACCTGATCCCTTTGACACCTCAAGATCGCACAGGATGGGGTGCTTCGTCCATGTGGGCTTTGTTGCTTCTGAGCTAGATGGCCGCTTGTTTACCTTCAAGCCTTTTGATAGCTGGACACCATAACCTATTTTTATAAAGAAAGTCCTATGGGAACACAGACTGGTCTGTTCTTGCTTACAGTTGGTTTCATCCTTGGCTGTTTTCCTGCCACAGTTGTGTAGTTGCAAAAGTGACCTAGTAGTCTAAATATTTGCTATCTAGCTCTTCACAGAAAAAAGTCTGCCTGCCTTTTTTATTACCACGTGTGGCTGTCACGTGCCCTGAGAGCATGTGGCCTGCAGACTAAACTCTGCACCAGTTTATCTCAGATTTGGAAGGCCAGTGCCTTTAGCAAGTGTCACATTCCCATCTTTCCTTTCTCCCGGTCACTTCACACCCAGCAGCCATCACCCACTTCTGTCAACTTTCTGGCCTCCAGTGTTTGGCTGGGGAACATCCGGTCTGTAAAGTTCAAACCCATTACTGTCCAAAAGGCCCTCCTGGGTTTTCTGTAAGTGCGACCTAATTGGCTGATCGGATCTCCTTTTGCATGAACCTTCCATTTCAGCATTTCTGGTCCCCACAGTCCATCACATAAAGCGTGTGGTGATGTAATGATGGTAATAATCAAAACGGCAACCATCACATTAACTATCATCTGCTCAATAGTTCCTGTGGGCCACGCCTGAGCCAGGCACTTTGCAAGTCTTCTCTGGCTTCCCATCCCCACACGCTCCTGTGAGGTACTTTATTCTATGGCTTCCTAAACTTTTTCCATACAAGGGCCCTTTGAACCCAAGAAATTTGCAGCATAAGCAAACACTTCCAGAAACATCTCAGATGCATTGCCTGTTAGATTTTGAATGACACTGCATCTTAAATTTTGAATTAATTTTTGGGCCCTGCATGCACAGAAACCTTTAACAGCTGCCTAGTTTTTCACAGCCCCCACATTCCATTACGCCACTCCACAGTTTAAGAGGCTTTGACCTATTTTACTCATATCAACGATACAAACAATGATGCTCAGAGATGTTCAAGAACATGTTCAAAGCTAAGTATGCACCGAGTGGCAGGGCAAGAATCAAACGCCGGTATATGTGATGCCCAGAGCAGAGTGCCTGCTCTTACACTGCCTTTCACATAGAAGGACTCATTTGCCCTGATCTCACCAGACCTGCAAGGCCCACGGTGGCCCTACCTGCTCAGGTACCTGTCCCAGCCCTTCTCCTGAAGTCCTACCATACTGACTCCTCGTCACACAAGGCAGCTGCTCAGGGAAGATCTGTAGGGACAGTGATCATTCTGTCTATTATTACGTAAAACTGGAGGCAAAAGCAGTTCTTTTCAAGCCGTGTCTTTTTCCCAGTGGTGTACTGTGTTGTATTCTAAATCTTAAAGGGGTGCCATGCCCACTTGAACAATGTGGTGTTTTACACAGTCAGACAGATGCCATCTGGTCCAGCCCAAAGTAATGAGAGCAACAGAGAAGACAGATCCCTCCTCCGTGGGAGAGCACCGCTTTGTAAGACTTCCCTCAGCTCTGTGTCCGGGACCAAACCGAGCCCAGTCTGTGGGGGCACATGGATAGCCGCTTCTAACCTCCTTCCTTCTCCCTTGTCTGACTCCCACCCGAGTGTATGGGGTTCACACCCTTCATTGTTCACAACAAAGTGTGCACATGGGAAGCGGGGGTGATAAATGTCCCTGGTACTGAAGCGCACACCTTCGCACACCTTCAACCGTTTGCAGAAGAGGGGCAGGAAGGAAGGAAGAAGCCAATAGGTGCACGGTGCACATGATGGGTTTCCATCATTGTCATGACCTTGTCTCAGTTCTTTGCCTTCCCCCCTCTCGGTTGTTTTAGGCGAAGGACTCGGGTAACCCCCAGCAAGTGTCCCACTCCTACATCCGTGTGCGGGTCATCGAGGAAAGCGTCCACAAGCCGACAGCCATCCCCTTGGAAATCTTCATTGTCACCATGGAGGACGACTTTCCGGGCGGGGTCATTGGCAAGATCCATGCCACAGATCAAGACGTGTACGACGTGCTCACGTTTGCGCTGAAATCAGAGCAGAAGAGCCTGTTCAAAGTGAACAGCCACGATGGGAAGATCATTGCCCTGGGGGGCCTGGACAGCGGCAAGTACGTCCTGAACGTCTCGGTGAGTGACGGCCGCTTCCAGGTGCCCATCGACGTGGTGGTGCACGTGGAGCAGCTGGTGCATGCCATGCTGCAGAACACCGTCACCCTCCGCTTCGAGAATGTGTCCCCCGAGGACTTCGTGGGGCTGCACATGCTGGGCTTCCGGCGCACGCTGCGGAACGCAGTGCTCTCCCAGAAGCAGGACAGCCTGCACATCATCAGCATCCAGCCCGTGGCAGGCACCAACCAGCTGGACATGCTGTTCGCCGTGGAAATGCACAGCCGTGAGTTCTACAAGCCAGCCTACCTGATCCAGAAGCTGTCCAATGCCCGCAGGCACCTGGAGAACGTCATGCGCATCTCCGCCATCCTAGAGAAGAACTGCTCAGGGCTTGACTGTCAGGAGCAACACTGCGAGCAAAGCTTGTCTCTGGATTCCCACGCGCTCATGACCTACAGCACGGCGCGCATCAGCTTCGTGTGCCCGCGTTTCTATCACAACGTGCGCTGCACCTGCAACGGTGAGTGTGTTTTCCAAGGCCGGCCTGCCTGCGGAGTTGATAGGAGGAGGCTGCGTGGCTGTTCCTAATTCACAGATGTTTATCCATGCAGCAAAATATTTCTGGGTCACCTACCGAGTGCCCAGACGTCCCTGGGAGGTGGCGTAAATAGTTAAGAGTTCAATTGCAAAGCAAGAGGTTTGAAGTAACCCAGAGGTGGCTGGGAAGATGGGCCTAATGACCTGCTTCCAAAAGGTTACAGCCTAGAAAGCCGGGTGGAGCAGTTCCCCTCTGCACACGTGGGGCCACCATAGTCAGAATTGGCTGAACGGCAGCTAACTTCAACTCCCTGTGGGCACCATGATTGATACTGGGCGTCCATCAGACAAGCTCAGTCCCTGCTGCCGCTGAGCTCATAGTTAGTGAGCCATACAGATGCACAAGCAGGAAAGCCCCAGCCCATGTGGTAAGAATGATCCGAGGAAACACCGCATGCTGTGAGAAGGCCCATTTCCTAAAGGGGGTATCCTCTAAGTAGAGCCAAAAGATAAGCAGGAGTGAGCTCACTCATTCTGACTCCTAGGGACCCCATAGGACAGAGTGGACCACCCCTGTGGGTTTCCAAGGCTGTAAATCTTGGCGGCAGCAGCAGTAGAATCGTTCTCCTGTGGAGCAGCTGGTGGTTTCAGATGCTGCCCCTGCTGCTAGCAGCCGACACATAATCCACTTCGCCACCAGGGCTCCCAAGCAGGAGCTAGACAAGTGAAATGGAGACCCACGGTGGTACAACAGTTAAGCACTCAACTAGTAATGCAAACCTTGGTTTCCACCTAACTGCGATGTCCTCGGAGAAACTCCTATCCAAAGATCTGATCGGAAAGATTCCAGCCTAGGAGGATTTCTACTCTTGCCCCAAACCAAAATTCACCGCCTTCGTGTCCTTGTCAACTCATGGTGGCCCTACGGCACAGGGTCGAACTGCCTGTGGGTTACCGAGACTGGACCTTTGGATGGGAGTAGAAAGCCTCATCTTTCTCCCAGGCAGCAGCTGGTGGCTTCTAACTGCTGACCTGGAGGTTAGCAGCCCAGTGTGTAACACACTACCCAGCAGGGCTCTTCCTCACTCACTGCCAGGGAGTTGATTCTGGCCCTATAGGAAAGGACAGAATTGCCCCTGTGGGTTTCTGAGACAGTAATGCTAAAGGAGTAGAAAACCTGTCTTTCTCCTGTGGAGCAGCTGGTGCTTTTGAACTGCTAACCTCAAAGTTAGCAGCCCAAATTCATAGCTACTATGCCTCTGGGGCTCCTAGGGCACTTGCTAGGAGTCAAAATTTGACAATCTACTTGAGGGCACCTAAGAAGAACAAGTCATACTGGCCACAATAGACATAAGAAGGCCTGCCACTGAGTCAATTCCATCCCACAGCCACTGTAGGATGGGCTAGGCCTGCCACTGGAGGGGGGCGGGGTTCTGAGACTAACACTTTTACAGGATTAGAAAGCCTCATCTTTCTCCCATGGAGCAGCTGGTGGTTTCAAACTGCTGACTTTTCAGTTAGCAGCTCAGTGTGTGAACTCCCCACCCCCCAGGGCTTCATAGGAAAAGGCTATGGAGGAAGAATGTTTGGGACAGAGGGACAGCTTATGTGAGCAAAGCCTGAGAGTAAGAAAATTTCCCTTGAGGGTCCTGGACAGGTGGACAGGTCAGGGATATGATGACAAAGGAACCCTGTAAGCAAGCCCAGGAGTCACCCCAGGCCCATTAGCCAAGATTCAGAGACGATCCGAGGCTGTGGGAAACAGCGACTGATTCAGAGTGAAGAATTGTCGGGATCAGATTCATGTTTCACAGAGAGCATATGTTGCTGCAGAAGGGATTGAATGGATGAGAGGCAGCCAGGCCAGAGGCAGGGAGACAAGTCAGGAAGCTGTCGCAGAGGGTCAGGGCAATTTCATTTGCTTCAGTGAAAAATAGACATGGAATGCCCAGGAGTAGAGTGGAGGCCCTCTGAGAAGCAGGAGGAAGTGGTTCATGCTGTTGATGGAACGATAGCCATCAAACCTTGATCTGGCTGGTCAAAAGCCAGGGCAATGCAGAGGCCTAGCATGGCAGCATGCACTAAGAATCAGTGCTCTCTGTCAATTCACTGCCCCTTTCCAGGAAACTCACACCTAGAATTCCCTCTAGCCAGTATGAGCTTGCTCCCAAGGGACGGTGACCAGAAGAGAGGCCATTTGTAAAACATGCTCTTAGGTAATTGAAGACAGACAGGGGGGCCCTGGCCCCTTCCCTTGGTTGTAGCTTAGAGAATGAGCTCATCAGAGGAAGGCCCCAAGAGCACAGCTCTCTCCCAAAGACTTGTTGGCAGTCTCCAAGAAGCCCAGAGGAGGGCCAAGCCAGGGGAGGGGGAAGGGGGTTCCTATAAATTTCCCTAATGTTTTCACGAGGCAGAGGCCACCATGTCCCACCAACCTGTTGAATATGGAAATCAGCTCCGAAAGAGCTCAAAGCACGCATGCTAGGTGACATGCGCTGTTGGCAGATGTCACCAGCAGGTGGGATTCATGACTGTCAGTGGTCCATGCCTTGTCCAGATGTCCTTTGTAGGCAAACTGATGGACACACCAGTTTGTCCATCAGAGCTAGATCAGAGCACATTTCAGCTAGAGCTTCCTTGTGCCGACTCACAGCAGGATACCAAGGGTTCAGGACCCAACCGAGCAGGCCTTGCAGGAGAAACTGTATCCTCCGGTTCATGCTGGTGCTCGGAGAAGTCCTTTTGTTCAGCAAAGATCTGTGTGTGAAGGTAGCAGTGTCGTAGGCTCGGAAGATTCCAAAGTGACAGAGACAGAAATGCTCCCTGTCCTTTGGAGCTGCAATTGTGCTATCAGCTTAGGAGCCTCACATGCTATAATGTTACTGTCCGCTGCTGCTGAGCCGTCCTCCCACTCAGGGGGATGCCACACGTTCCAGAGCAGAAGTGGGCCAAAGGGGTTCCTGGGCTGTCATCCTCACGGAAACAAGTTGCCAGCCCTTTCTTCTGTAGCGACACTGCCCACCTTTTGGCTAGCAGCTGAAAGCGGTCTGTGATATTGGTATACGAGGGACCACTTATGTGCTGTGTCTCAAGTGGGGTATGTGCTCATCAAAAGGGAACGTGCGCTTTGCAGAATTTCTGCGAAGAAAGACATGAGAAGGGGTCAGTCAGCGCAGGCTGGACTGGTGTTCAGCTATGAGGGTGAACAGAAATCAGCAGAGCTTCTAGACTAAGACAGATGAGGAAGAAAGTCCTGGCAATCGCCTTATAAAAAACAGCCAGTGAAAACTGTGTGGATCACAATGGTCTGGTCCTCGAACAACCATGATCATGGGGCAGACTCTGTACTAGGCAGAGTTTCATTTAGTTGTACGTGGGGTGGGGGGAATGGGGGGGTGTTGCCAGGAGTCGACAGCCAACTCAACAGCAGTTCACAACAACCAGAACACTATCTGTGAAGCATTATTTGGCATTTTAACATTTCAGCATATTACCAGGGGCATATTAAGTGCCTCCGAGTTCTTTGTTCTTATCACTACTATCAAATGGTCATTTTCAATTCTGTCTCATAAATTCATAAGGAGGGTCATGGCTTCGACCAGAATCTTCCTTTCTCCCTCTTCCCCTCCCCGCCTTCTTTTCTTTCTCCTTTCAACTATTCTGCTTTGTAGCCTCTTTCCACTCACCTTTCTGCTTATCTGAGGAGACTGGTAGCATTGTGATTATGGCTCTAACTGTCCATCCACTCCTCCTCTCATCTACAGTTCATTCCATTCATACCAGTGTTAGCTGCTTACTTATACCATCCGTTCACCTCATGGTGTGTAGTGCAAAGGGCCATCCTTCTATTAGCTGAGTCCTTGAATGTTGTAAAGTGGAGAACATTGATCTAATATCCCTCCCTCCCTAAGTGGCAGTTCCTGAGTGCAGCTCAGCTCCCTGGATGTCTGTGGTACTCATCCGGGGCAGCCTTGAAAGACAGTTGCAGTAAGACAGAGCATCTCAGCCACTCCAGTGTGTGTGGTGTTTGTTAGAAATGCCCATTCCTGCGCTGCTGCACACTCAGACGTGGACAGTAGGTGGAGCCTGGGGAACTCTGATGCTGGTGGAGGAAATCCGCCTGTGAGAAATTTCACTGGAAGGGACACCCACCAAGAACCAACTGCCATTGAGCCACTTCCAACTCAGATTAGAATGTCTCCTTCGGGTTTCTAAGGCTGGAAATCTTGACAGGAGCAAACAGCCTCATCTTTCCCCCACAGAGTGACGAGTGGATTTGAACCACACCTTGCTGTTGGCAGCCCAACACTTAACATACTGTACCATGAGGGCTTTCAGAGGAACCAGGGGAATAAAAACTCAAACTCACTGCCCTTGACAACTCACAGCAACCCCTACGTAGGTTTCCAAGACCCTAAATCTTGATGGGAAAAGACAGCCTCATCCTTCTACCACGAGTGCCTGGTGGTTATCCGCCAGCATTCATTCTCCAGCACCACCTGGGCTTCTAATACGAAGTGAAAACTCAAAACTCACTGCCATTGAGCCCCTTCTGACTCCCAGCAAACACATAGGTCCGAGTAGAACTGCCCCAGTGGGTTGTAAGACTGTCACTCTTTACTGGAGGAGAAAGCCTTCTCTGTCTCCTGATAGGAAGGGAAAGAACACACATTTCTTTCAGGTTCAGGGACAAGTTCTTAATTGTAATAGTAATAACTCTCTTGGGATCTCATGTCTCACAAGTTGCCTCTAAAATAAAAACTCCCTGAAAAATGATAAAGCATTGGGCAATTTCAGGGATCTTCTGACATATTAGAAAGAAGAGATCATTTAGTTCAATAAATGAACCCCCCCTAACTCTCAGAGACACACACAACTAATGTTGGCCGTGGATGCCCCTTCCCACTGCCCGCCCCCCCCACCTCCTCCACCCACCCCAAACACACGCAGCTAATATTGGCTGCTCATCTCTTTACCCTGGGA